AAGGCCTGACTAAACCACCTGATATATGATAACTTGTTCGGCGTTCAGAGCGTTTTGATATTAAACTGTTATAGTTTTTTGGATGTAAAGTACTGTAATTTGTTTTATTTATATTACAGATGGCCAAGTTAAAAAACAATCACAGAACGTTTTTTTTTTCTGTACAATTACCGTGAATTCATTATTGTTATGTCGTGCATCAGTCTACATGCATAACAGTCTTATAAACTGATGTGACATATGCCTCTATGTTGATCAGGAATAAAGATGAATGGAGGACCCTCCATTAAAATTCATTCCTCTTTTTGTAGTTCACTACACTGAAACAAATTCATGCATTAGTGGAGCACATTTAGGTCAGATTGGCAAATCCGTCTGTAGCGGTTCACTTTTAAAAAATGGCGTACAACAATTTTATGGCTTATAATGGTAATATCGAAGATGGATTGATGTTTTAGAAATACCAGCACTGTTTAATGCGGCCCGTATTTGTATGTGTTGGTTATCTACTCTTTTGTATGACATGGCGCACCAAAACATAAATATGTTGTCTTATTTTTATGCTCTGCCAAAATATTCAAAAACAAAAACGTATTCTTGTATCTTCCTCCCTTGTACAATACAATAGAAATTTCAATGAAACCATCCGTATTTGAATTGCGTGCCAAACAAGGTGAATTGTACCAGGTCATTAAAACTACGTCAGCATTATCCTTGGTTTATGTTGTTTATATTTCCGTTGTTTCTTACAATACATAGCTTTTGTGGTAAATTCGAAGTGAATTGAAGTGAACGAGGCATCTCTTTTGATATTGTTGAAACCATTAATATATTTATTGCCATGTTCTACAAACATACTTACTTGAAAACGCTGATATCTACAAAACTGTTTCCTAAGCATGTTTATGTTGAGATTATTTCCCACGCTGATTCTGAGGTTGAAAAGGGGGTAATGGTTCAGCGACAAACGTTCTACAAATATTGGAATAGTTATTGTTGATCAAATGCATTCGAAGAAATGCCCGTGGAATGAAAGTCAAGTCTATGGTTCACTGTGGACTAAGTATTCAATTCTATACAACTAAATTAGACAGTAGAACCCCTCCTTTGGAACACCATTATTCAGGGGACAACACTATTAACGGGACACTTTACCGTGAAACGAGGGGAAATATATCTTTTAACATTAGGGGACACATTTTTGGCATTAAAGGTGTCCATTAATTGGGGTTCTACTGTATTCAACCTGCTTGCAACAATATCTATTTCAGATACATTGGTTGATTTGATGTGAACTGTGAATGGAACAACTTTGTTTTTATATCTGGCGCAATATAAACCTCAGTGATTGGTTGAGTAGATCAGGCCATAACAATCTGAAAATAGAAATTAGTATATTTCAAATATGTTAATTTTACAGCCAAAAATGATATGTTAACCCTATATTTTCAAACTAATTTGCATAATTTAGTTAATTCGCACATGTTCCCGATTTGTGATTTGTGAAATTTCATCCCTCATTATATGTATTGGTTTAAAAAAGAACAATCTTTGCAATGTGATAGACTGTAAATGCTCGATCGCCTAGCCTATTAGAAACACTTCTAGTCACTGGAATTGTTTTTATTATTTTTTATCATTCTACCATTCAACTTAACCGTCCTTACACTTCGTTCATCAACTCGTGTAACTTACAACCCGCAACAAAACTCAAAACATATAATGACAGAAGCTTTTCCTCAATTGGGCTGACCCTCTGGAACACACTTCCATTGGAAATACAAAATTCACCAAACATTGGCTGTTTTAAAAAGGCCCTAAAAGCTTACCTCCTCATACAGTATGGTTAACTCTATAGCTATTTTTTAGCTTTAGGCGCTTTATAAATTTATTATACTTATTATTATTGTACAGTATAAAAATCAATGTACACATTTTCAAAATTCAATAATTTCTATGCTCAAGTTTTCGGTTACCGTAAGTGCTCGAATACGCGCCGCGAACAAAAGTAAGCAAACACCAGGAAGCA